CATAGAAACTTGTCATGTAAAGGAAGCAAATTGCGTTCTAATTGATCGATGGACGCTACCTGCAACATTGCCAATGTCAGCTGAATGAATTTCACTTTATCCGCCTGCTGCAGCGAACCTGAATAATTGCAGGTTACAACTCCCCTTTCTTCATTTCAGCATACTGACACAATTTCTCATTGTAAAGCACTTGTGGATCCTTATCAGTGAGATTTCCCTTCTCATCATAAGCATCTTTCAGAAACACAACCCAGTTCATCTCAGTCCCAGCAAGGTAAAATGTCCTGGGCTGTTTTTTCAGCATGTCATATGTATGCTTTGTCAGGGAGAACTCATCCTTGAACTCCACAATGTGATGAATGGAAGCTCTCTTCTCCAAAGTCAGGCTGAGAAACTCGTAAACAACTCCAACCCTGTATTTCTCGGCCTCTAAGCTCCAAAGATCCAGCTTATGCCCATCACTGTACGGCGAAACCAAGGGCAATGTGTTCAAGAGATTCAACGTTCTAGTATCCCCCTCATCCAATTCTAAATCTTTAGCATATTTTACAGGAAACTTAAACGCTCTCTTGGCTTTGTCCTCATCTACCATAAACTGCCTTTCTAGCTGGCTCACCGCTAAGCTCTTATCCCAGTTCACTAATTCCAGCACTCTCTTCCCATCACTCCCAACCGTAACCCTAAATCGCTCGGGATACTTAACCACTCTGTCTCGGAAATCGTCAGGAATTCCAAACAATAACCGACAGTGGTGAATCTTACTCAGAGGAATACGCTTGTCCTTGGACATCATCAGCAGCTTGGTGACCTTGTCAACCCTGTCGATTTCCACGGAATCCATAATCGATCGCTCCTCGTCGAGCAAGTCCTCCATGAAATCCGTGAACCCTAGCCACATTTTGTTGTCCGTGTGACGGTAAGTCTGGAAAAGTAATGGGTGGCGCTGGAGGTAGCGAGCAACTTTGCGACCGCGAGGGAAGCCCAGCTCCCGGTAGAGCTTGCCGGCGTCATCGAGGCGGAGGACGTGATCCGGCTGCTGGGAGAGGAACTGTTTGGATCTGGTGAGGAATCGGAAGTAAGAATCGCGCTCGACCAAGGATTCGAAATGGTGGTTTCTGGTGGAAGGATGCTGGACGGGCTTAGTGCGAGGGGAATCGGGCTTCTTCCGCTTCTTCTTGAACTTTTTGGGGGTTTTAGTGACCAGGAAGGAGGTGGAGAAGAGCGCTGAAGGGCAAGAAACAGGGAAGAAAGGGTTAGGTCGGAGGAGGGGTGCGAGAGATGGGATTTGGGACGCGTTGGTGAGGTTGGAGATACAGAAGAGGAAGCGGCGCCACGCCATGGGAATTGGAAACTTGGGTTCAGAGGACGGCGGCGATATATCAGGTTTTGGGCTTAGGATAGGGTAACCCTTGGTTACTCACCCGTGAGTAACCACCTAGGTACCGTCGATTTTGGCCGGACGGATCTTGTGGCTGTGATTGATGCGGTGATTTTTGTCCATGGTCAGGGGCATTTTTGTCCGATATTTCATATTTGAATTAAATTACTTTCCCTCTTTGTCCGTTGCGAATCTTTCTGTGCGTGAGTTGGATTCGGATTTTGGAGAGAGAAACTACGAGCAGGGGGAGCAGCAGCTGAGAAACAAGGACGGCGATTCTCCATAGTTGATCGACGGCGATAGAAACTGCGAGCAGCAGCTTCGAATCGAGCTTTCTGATTCTCCATAATTGATCGACGTGTGCGCGAGTTTGATTCGGTTTTTGTAGAGAAAAACTGCGAGCAGCCGCTGCGAGGTTTTTCATTGCTGCTAGTCGAGCTTGTTTATGTTTAGCTAATCGAGCTTGTTCATGTGTTATGTTCTTTGTGTTTTGGTGTTTTTGCAGTATTCTAGTGAGATGAGTTACGTAAATTGTGGCGATGTTGTTCCAATTGATAGATCTGGTTCTTCAACCAGCGTTGTAGGATCTGGTTCTTCATCTAGTGTTGTTGGAACTGCTTCTTCATCTATTGATCTAGGATTTGATCATTCAGCTAACTCTGGTGAATCAGGAGGTAAGATATACAAATTTGTTTGTTTATTGAAGTTTGTATAGTGTCGTAATTTGATTTTACCATGCCTTATCATGTGGTAATTGATTTTACAGTACATTACCATGTGGTAAAATGTGGTAATTAGGAAGTTAAATGTGATGTTTCTGTGTGGTAGTTTGATTTTACCATGCCATACCATATGGTATAGTGTGGTAATTTGATTTTACCATGCCTTATCATGTGGTAATTGATTTTACAGTACATTACCATGTGGTAAAATGTGGTAATTAGGAAGTTAAATGTGAGGATTCTGTGTGATAATTGATTTTACCATGCCATACCATATGGTATAGTGTGGTAATTTGATTTTACCATGCCATACCATGTGGTATAGTGTGGTAGTTTGATTTTACCATGTCATACCATATGGTATAGTGTGGTAATTTGATTTTACCATGCCTTATCATGTGGTAATTGATTTTACAGTACATTACCATGTGGTAAAATGTGGTAATTAGGAAGTTAAATGTGAGAGTTCTGTGTGATAATTGATTTTACCATGCCATACCATATGGTATAGTGTGGTAGTTTGATTTTACCATGCCATACCATATGGTATAGTGTGGTAATTTGATTTTACCTTGCCATACCATGTGGTATAGTGTTGTAGTTTGATTTTACCATGCCATATAGTGTGGTAATTTGATTTTACCATGCCATACCATGGTGGTAACTCTTGTATCATGGCTGTAATTATTGGTATACATTGAGATTTCATACTGCTGTGGTGTGGAATCCATTTAATATGTTGTTTCATTGTAGGTTTCAATGGTATAGATCCTACTGTTCGTGATTCTTGGAAGGACTTAGAGTTCAATACACCAGATGATGCATATAATTTTTATGTTGATTATGGGAATCATGAAGGTTTTCGTGTGAGGATTTATAACCAATCAGCGTGTCCGAAGCTCAATGGTGGTTCTTCAGCTGTATATTATATCTTGTTGCAATAAGGAAGGTTGGAAAAGAGGTAGCGAGAATAACCCTGATAATGCAGGTGTTGTTGATACGACGGTTCGTGTTCGTAATGTTCTAGAACTCAGGGGTGGATGTAATGGTGCTTATATACGACTGAGGTGGTTTAAAGAGTTTAAATGCTACAAGATCTATCGTTGGTATAATGTGCACAACCATGACATGATTCCTGAGTCTCTGCGTCACTATGTGAGATCCAGCAGACGAATGGCTCCTGTGTATAAGATGTTGGCAGAGGTGAATGATGCTGCTGGTATTGGTGTGACTTCTTCGTATAATGCAATTAGTAGGGCTGGTGGTGGTCGGAAGTTTGTTGGGTTCACAAAGAATGATTTGAAAAACCATCTGCGAACGGTTAAGACGTCATCAATGGAGTATGGTGATGCGACTGCATTGCTTGAATACTTTAGACGTCAAGCACAGCTGGATCCTGGGTTCTTTCATGAGGTGGAGGTTGATGTTGAAGAGAACATTGCTAGTATTTTTTGGGCAGATGGGAAGATGAGGATGGATTATCAATATTTTGGTGATTCAATTAGTTTTGATACTACTTACCGGACTAACAAAGAGTATCGGCCACTAGGTATGTTTTCTAGTTTGTTGTTTATTATTGTCTTTGTTAGTTTGTATGATTATTATTATTATCATTCTGTATCATGTTTTTTTTTTTGTTCTTAAAAGTATTTTACCATATGGTATGTGTTGGTAACAAGGTTATTTGAGGTGGTTTTTGGGTTGTTAGAAGTCTGTACTATATGGTATGGGCTGCTATGCATTGTGTTTTTGTTCTTAAAAGTCTTTTACCTTATGGTATGGGTTGGTAACAAGGTTATTTGTGGTGGTTTTTGCGTTGTTAGAAGTGTGTACTATATGGTAGTCTGGTGTGGATTGTTTTTTTTTTGGTTCTTAGAAGTCTTTACCACATGGTATGAGTCTTTACCATATGGTATGGGTTGGTATTATTGTTATTCGTACCTTTTACCACATGGTATGTGTTGGTAGCTTTGTTTGTTGGTTTCAACAATCATCACCAACTGACTGTCTTTGCGGCTGCTCTTCTATATGATGAAACAACGGCAACATTTGAATGGCTTTTCGATCAGTATTTGAAATGCATGGGAGGTGTGAGACCGTTATCAATGTTTACTGACCAGGCTGCTGCAATTGCTGCTGGTATAAGGTCTGTTTTCCCAGATTGTTTTCATGGTTTGTGTACATGGCATATTGCTCAGAATGCAGTTGTTAATCTGGGAAGTTTGTGTGACTCTGACTTCCTTCGTGAGCTTAGTTATTTGATGTATAATGCTGATGATGAGGATGATTTTGAGTATAATTGGAAGAAGATGATTGAGAAGTGTTTTCCTGGGAAGGGACCTTTGGGACACAGTTGGTTACAGGGCATTTACAAAGTCAGGACGAAGTGGTCTTCAGCCTGGGTGAATTGTCATTTTGGTGCGGGAATGAAGAGTACCCAGCTAAGTGAGTGCTGCAATAGTAATATTCGACATTACTTGCAGTCAGAGTTTAGCGTTAGTAGGTTCTTTGTGCACTTTGAGAGGATGCTTGATAATAAGAGGGATGCTGAAGAACAAGAAGAGTACTATGCCTTATCTAGGTTGGCTGATTCTCGGTTTTCTACTAGCCCTATTGTGAAGCAAGTTGCTAATGTGTATATATTCAAGTTTTTCCTGGATCAGTACAAGGAATCCCTTGCGTATAATATTTTTTCCAATACGGAGATAGAACCAGAAGGACATGTAGGACTGTTTGATGTCTTCATATTGGAGGATGACCTTACAAGGTTGGATAGTAGGGTGTTGAAGGTTGATTTTGAAAACGGTGAAATCAAGTGTTCCTGCCGTAAGTGGGAGTCAAGTGGTATGATCTGTAAGCATCAAATTAAGGGATATGATATGTTGTGGTCTACAACATGCAATCTGAAGTTCCAGCACATTCCTAGCAGTTTGATTTTGAAGCGGTGGACAAGGGCAGCGAAAACTGGAGGGAACTTTTCTTTTGAAGTTCCGTCTACTGATAGTCCATCGAAATACCGTTCTCGTCTTTTCAATCTGTCAGCTGTTTCTGCATCAATGATCAGCAGGGTTGCATTGGATGATGATTTGTATAAATCAGCCATTGTCTTCATGACTGATTTGATCAAAAAGTGTGAAGCCCTATCGATTACTGAACCTGCTGGAACAAGCACGTCTTCTAACGGTGACAGTAAGTTTTTAATTGTTTAGAGTTTGTTTTTGTTTTTGTTATCTGTCATTGATTGTAGTTTGTTTTTGTTATCTTGGTATAGATGATGTACCGGTCCAAAAAGTGAAGGGGTTTAAGCCTAAAAAAGATTCATTCAAGCCTTCGAAACGACCAATTCCAGTTGCGGAGGCTGCAAGGGCTGTAAGTAAGAAGAAGAGAAAAACTAGCAGGCTTGAGGAGGAGAATTTGAAGGATGTTGAAGAAAGTTTAAGGCTGAAGCTGTAATAGTTTTCTTAGAGGATTATCTGAATGAATGGTTGATGCTGGTTGAGTTGTTGAAGCTATTTTGTTCTTTTGGATTGGTTTTTGGTTTTGTTGGATTAATTTTACAATGTTATACCATGTGGTATAATGTGGTAATTTGATTTTATCATGTCAAACCAGGTGGTAAAATGTGCTATTTTGGAAGTTGAATGTGAAGGTTCTGTTTTATAATTGATTTTACCATGCCATACTTATGGTATAGTGTGGTAATTTGATTTTACCATGTGGTAATGTGTGGTAATTGATTTTACCATGTGGTAAAATATGATATTTTGGAAGTGGCATGTGTGGTAATTGATTTTACAGTAAATTACCATGTGGTAAAATGTGGTAATTTGGAAGTTAAATGTGAGGGTTTCTGTGTGATAATTGATTTTACCATGCCATACCATATGGTATAGTGTGGTAATTTGATTTTACCATGCCATAGCATATGGTATAGTGTTGTAATTTATTTTTACCATGCCATACCATGTGGTAAAATATGGTATTTTGGAAGTGGTATGTGTGGTAATTGATTTTACAGTGCATTACCATGTGGTAAAATGTGGTAATTTGATTTTACCATGCTATACCATATGGTATAGTGTGCTATACCATATGGTATAGTGTGGTAATTTTTTACCATGCCATAGCATGTGGTAAAATGTGGTAATTTGGAAGTTCTGTGTGGTTAACTGATTTTACATTGCATACCATGTGGTAAAATGTGGTAATTTGGGAATTAAGAACACATGTTAAGTATTTGCTAACATAATAAAAAACAGAATATTTCATTTAGTTATAATACAAACCATAATAAGTTGTTTCATACCATCCTACTAATTAAAATGAAGTGGCTACTGAACATTGTGAGTTTGTTCTCAAAAGCTTACTTATACCCTCCTACTACTTAACACAAACGATAATAGAATTTTTATCTCCTTCCTTTCAACTCTTTCTTCTTGTTCTTCATGTTGCAGTACTTTGTTGCTTCTTTCATGATCCTTTCCCGTTCAAGATTTTGTTCATCAAGAATGATGTCCAACATCAGGCACTCCCTTTCTTCATTTATGAGATCAATCCTCTTCCAATCTTTGGTCAGGGCACTGTTGTACTTACCTTCCCAGTGTCTCATCCACCTTATTACGTACATCCCACATGAAATTTGATCTGGTTGTGTAACCTTCTCGAGCTTGAACCAGGTAAACCTCTCCCACCTTACTGTCTTGTCTGCAAACTGTGTCTTCATGTAGTTGATTGCGTACTGGACAACCCTCTCTGCCATTGGTTTGTAGTTTTTTTCAAAATCTTTGTGACGGAGACTGTCGAGCACTTCAAATCTCTCTGCTTTGATGTTGACACAAATCATGATGTAGTGCTTGTTATTACAGTAAGGGAAGAACCACTGCAAAATAATTTTACCACAGTATACCATATGGTAAGCAGTTGCCATATAAGTGATGAACAGTAAGTTAAGAACCATTGCAAACTAATTTTACCACTATATACCATATGGTAACCACTGCAAACTAATTTTACCACTATATACCATATGGTAACCACTGCAAAAATTGTGGTGAGATACTTACAAGGTTACATTCTGTGAAGCTGAGGTTTTTTGCCCATTCTTTGTTGGTGATGTCCAAGTCCACTTTGTTGTAGTAATCGTCTGGAGATAGTACAGGATTGCCACTATCAATGTCCAGTTGGCAGTCACCCTGAAAGTTGTGGTTGTTATTATGTGTTTTATATATGTGTTGTCTAATAACTATTGACAGAATATGGGTGGGTTTACTTACTGCCAAAGATGTATCGAAGAACCACCTTTTGAATTTTCCTTTTTCTGCTTCATTCCTGTTCATTACATCTCCATACCAGTCGATGACATCAGATGTGTTTTCACAGCCAATGTCAATCAACTGTACTGACTCCCTTTTCAGCAAGAATGTTCCATCCTTCCTTTTAAACTGTAACACCCTACCCTATACGTTTTGCCTAATCATATTGTTCATACAATTGCAGCGGAAATAATCTCGGGTGTTACATTAATTATCAAAATTTACCCAATTAAAATTTCGACATGAATTACTCGCGTAATGGGCTAACAGTCCTTGCAACTTATCCTACAAAATAATTCATCACAAACATATATACTCACAACCATATGTATTGGCTTTTCATAGCCATAGTCACAGTTTCATACTACACAACTGCATACTATACTGATACATGCTATAATCATCACAACTTACATAATTACACAATATACACATATAATCAACTTTCCACACCTGTGGATATCTCACACTACATCAGAAGCTAGTATGCACATGAAAAACGTTCTCAAAACATTTTACAAAAAGGTGTGGATCACTGGCCAAAATCCTGAGTAGTAGTCCAAGCACAAAATAGTTGAAGACCATACCTCATCCTGCCTTCAACTCCCCGCTCTGCCCACACCTAAGTACTTGCTACTGCTAATGATCTGCTTACACATAGCATAAGTAGAGAAGAAGAATAAAAGAGGGTCAGCTCATAGCTGAGTGAGATAATCATAGCATCGTGAGTTCATAACAGAGCATACCCCCTACCATACATCTAGCAAACAAGCCAAAGCACTGGGATCATATCTCAGCCATCCGACATCCCAATAGGCAAAAGACTCAACCACCTTGACTTATGCATATGCATCTTATCATGTTTTACTTGTAGGCGCCTGGCTACTCCCATGCTAATAACTCTCCCGGAAAACATACCCCACATCCCGTCGGATGTAGTCATACAATACCCCACACCACTATGGGTGTAGTCATACCCCGACACCGCTCTGGGTGTGGTCATATCTCGTAAGAAATCTTCAGTCACCACCACATGAGAGGTGTGACTATCATACTTATCATAATAGAGTAATAGCATAGGGAGCCCTAATTACTATGTAGTTGACCGTGAGACCACAACACTCATATTTGGTATCCTTATACATGATTCATATCTCATCTTACTTAATCGTAATTCGTTACTTATACATGTTCTTGACCTGGCCACAATTGGCTCAACATAATCAGGAGTCGTATAATTGCACTTCCTCGGGATAAACTGTAACACCCTACCCCATACGTATTACCTAATCATATTGTTCATACAATTGCAGCGGAAATAATCTCGGGTGTTACATTAATTATCAAAATTTACCCAAATAAAATTTCGACATGAATTACTCGCGTAATGGGCTAACAGTTCTTCCATCTAATCCTGCAAAATAATTCATCTAAATCCATGCATTCATAGATAAACATATACACTCACTGCCATATGCATTGGCTTTTCATAGCCATAGTCACCGTTTCATGTTACACAACTGCATACTATACTGATACATGCCCTAATCGTCACAACTTACATAATTACACAAATATACACATATCATCAACTTTCCACACCTGTGGATATCTCACACTACATCAGAAGCTAGTATGCACATGAAAAACGTTCTCAAAACATTTTACAAAAAGGTGTGGATCACTGGCCAAAATCCCGAGTAGTAGTCCAAGCACAGAATAGTTGAAGACCATACCTCATCTTGCCTTCAACTCTTGCTCAGCTCCCACCTATACACCTATCTACTGCTGCTGATGATGATCTACTTACACATGGCATAAGCAGAGAAAAAAGGATAAAGAGGGTCAGCTCATAGCTGAGTGAGATAATCATAGCATCGTGAGTTCATAACAGAGCATACCCCTACCATACATCTAGCAAATAAGCCCAAGCACTAGGATCAGACCTCAGCCATCCGACATCCCAATAGGCAAAAGACTCAACCACCTTGACTCATGCATATGCATCTTATCATGTTTTACTTATAGGCGCCTGGCTACTCCCATGCTAATAACTCTCCCGGGAAACATACCCCACATCCCGTCGGATGTAGTCATACATACCCCAACATCTCGTCGGATGTGGTCATACATACCCCAACATCTCGTTGGGTGTAGTCATACCCCGACACCACTCTGGGTGTGGTCATATCTCGTAAGAATTCTTCAGTCACCACCACATGAGAGGTGTGACTATCTTACATATCATAATAGAGTAATAGCATAGGGAGCCCTAATTACTATGTGGTTGACCGTGAGACCACCACACTCATATTTGGTATCCTTATACATGATTCATATCTCATCTTGCTTAATCATAATTCATTACTTGCACATGAACTTGACCTGGCCATAATTGGCTCAACATAGGTAAATCAGGAGCCGTATAATTGCACTTCCTCGGGATAAACCCTCGTGCAAGTCATCCTCCTTAAACATCATAATATCACCCTGGGAAGTTTATTTCCCCCACTTGTGCATCCAAATACAACCACAATATCACATCATGTCAAAACACCTGATCGAACAACCATGAAGTCATATCAACGGTTAAGCCACAAATGGCAACATGTATGCAATCATCAACATAAACAAGGTCCACATCGGATAGGGCAAGTCAATAATATCATACAACCATCCATGGTTCATCATATAGCATAAAAGTCCATACACCCCTAATCATGCCATTCTAATTCACCTAGGTCAATTCTAAGCATCAATATAATTATCGTGATACGACAAACCCGGTATGCCGTGCTAATCCCTCACCAGTTCTGGTCGTTCAAACACCGGTTCTAGCCTCCCGTACCCCAACTTCACTTTTCTCAAACAAACTCAGAATCAAAATCCGAGATTGTCCTAATATTCCTTGTAGTATTCCCGTCAATATTAGTTCTAGGCTCCGGGTCAAATTCTCGATAAAAACACATCAAACCTTGGCCGGAGCTAAATTCAGCGATTAGGACCCCGACCTAAATAATTGCCGAAATTCAGGGATTAGAACTAGAGGATTGATTACCTCGCTGCAGGAAGCTCGTATATGAAATTTGGGCTCAA